TAACCTTGTATGGGGAGTAATGAAACTTGGGCAATTTCAGGGAAGACTGTAACCCCATAGTACTCAACCAGTGAGGAAGTAGGGGAGGGGCTTGCGTGCTAGGAGATAAATTACCTGCTGTAATTGCCCCATGTGTGCCTGCCTACCAGACACCCGATCTTGCAAGACCGCCATTAAAAGTCTTGCTTCCACTGTTGTTCCTGTCTCTGAGTCCATCCTTTGGGTTTGGACAGGTGAATGTGTGTTTCTCACAATGAAGAAATAGAATTTACTTAGAGAGCAAATTATTCTCTTTCTCATTTAGACCACAAAGTTCTATTTAAGGCCTGGATAATTAGTTTGGTTTAGCTATCTGCAGTGACAATTTGAAGTCTCCAATTCATTCTAGATTTTGTAGACATAGTTCTCATTATACAGCTGGTAACATTACTTAGTGAAATAGAAAATATTACTTATCAGTTCTTTTACTTTAACCTCATCTTCTGCCTACAAGCTATGTCAAGCTCTAGGCTTCCTTTAAATTAAAAAAAAAACCCAAATTCACGCTGCATAAGCATTGGCTGTTACCTCCATTCACTTTCTAACTCCATCGAAAGTGGTTCAGGAAGGAGCCAATCTTGAGAAATAGGGTAGTTCAGGGAAAAGAGTGCTGAAGGCAGCATCTGGAGATCTGGGTGCTTCCCATGACACTGACCTAATTTTGCATTGAGGCCCTAGGCAAAACTCAATCTTTCCGGACCTGGCTTTCCTTATCTGCAAAACAAGGAGTTGAACTAAATAATCTTTCAGTTCAAACAGGCTGACTCAGAAGAGGACTAGAAAGGGCTTGTCAGGGAGCCATTTCTCTAGGCTACTCCAGAGAAAATGGAGCATCCAGCCCCTCAAGAGGCACCACTCAGGCCCCTAAACGCCAGGCTCTGCCATTATGGACGTGAACTCCATTTCCATTTGAACGCTGTTATTTTCTCTTAATCTGTTACTCTGCAGTGGCACTGAAACTTAATATAATTAAAATAAGGGGGTGGACATATTGAATGGGTGGCAAGGCGTGGCTGCCTGAGCCCCAGGAACTGCGAATTCTAATCTTGGCTCTGCTGCTGTCTCAGGACACATCATGTACCCTTTCTAAAACCTAGACAGCTTCTGGATAACATCATTAGCCTATCTCACAGGACTGTTGTGAGAAATAATTTGTAAAAATAGCAGTGTAAAAGAGTTTGCAAAATGAAGTGCTAAACTGAAACTTGGACAACATGCTGAGTATTCCTATTCTGTCCAGCTAACTAATAAATATAAATTTGTTATTAGTTGAAAAGTCCTGAAGAATATAACTACTTAATCAATACCACACCAGCAGCCTGACAATTAGTATGAAGCCACAAGCCTGAGACCTGCAAGAAATTAAATTGGTGCTTAACAGAAACTGGACTTTGAGCAAGATAATTTCTGGAAATTAAAATCTAACCCACAAAACTTGAACCACATTATACACTTTTAGGGCTAGGTGCACATAACGGCTGGGTCCACATTGTGGCTACACATATTACTCATATCATGAGCAAATGTGAGAAGACAAACAAAAATGTTTTGGGGAACCCAGAAATTTTTAAAATGTATCTGCAAAATTGACATGTAAAATGTGGTTTTATAATGAATTTTAAAAGATACTTTACAAATTTTTTAAGTTGCTATTATTGCTTTAAGTAAATTTGCCTTTTAAAATTGTTTCATTTAAACCTGGCAATTTAAGAATTAATCACTGGAGAGAAAGAGAGAAAGAAAGAAGTTTATTTTGGTGCTTATTTCTCTTTCCTCTAAGTCCTATACAGGCAATTGAACAAGAGACTTGCAAAGCTGAGGTTAACAAAGGTGTGTTACACGTACGTACATACACACACACACACACCTGTGTACACATACACACAGAGAAGTCAGGAAAACAGATGGAATAGTTGAGTTTGAGTTGTGCTAGACCTCTCCTGAGCATTGTGATTGGTCGTGCCTTTGGTGGCTGGTGGGTCTGTTTTTCTGTTTACCTTTTCTTGGTCATAAAAGCTAGCCATCTCTTTAGGGCAGCCTCCTTAAAGGAAGTGCTTCAATTCTGGCATAATGAAAGGTCTGAATAAATAAATGCTAAGAGTTTTTGTCACCTCTGTGTTCCTGGGGACTTCCCCTCTGCCAGCCTAACACATCTTGCAAACCTACCAGCAGTCTGTCCTCCCAGGGCCAGCAGAAGGTTTCCTTGATTGCCCTGTGTTCTTTTGCTGGATGCAAAGTTTAGTCATGGTCAGATTCCCTTGCCTCATTTCCATGGAGTTAAACTAAATGACAATCTGGCACTCCATCTTGTCTCTCAGTCAGCAGGAAATGGCAGCTCCACTGAGACTGATCTGAAGGGAAAAGGAACTTTTTTTGCTAGAAGCAGCCAACCTAGACATTTCTTATTCCACAGGTAGTTGATAAAGTATTAATGACTGCAGAGATTTAAAAGGCCCCAGACAAACAGGCTATTCTAGGCCTTCCTTTCTTGGTTTGCCCTTTAGATCACTTTGTATCTATAGGCAAATGTAACTCAAGAAACAAACTCCACAATAAGTTATCCCAAATGACACAGAGAGAGTAGACTTCCTGTTTTGCATTATTTCACCGTAGGGAGCTGAAAAACAGCAATTCTTTGCAACTTGCAAGGCCATGACGAAAGAAAAGAAAACTCAGGGGGAAGAGGAGAATAAGAAAGAGAGAAAGGAGAATTAAACTTCTCTGATTACCAACTGGAAATAACTCAGACAATGATACACATGCCAGGTATACTTGCAAAGCTCTCTATGGAAGTCTTCATTTCTTTATGGCTATTAAGCAGGATCATTTTAACAGCTGCTTCTTCGACATTACTTGTTGGTATCTAAAAGTATGCCAGAAGCTATAATGCAGGCCAGAGATGAAACTTCCATTTTTTCCAAGTGTTTTCCCTTCTCTTTAAAAACCTAGTAACCAGCAAATGACAAATTAATTCCTCGAGCAGTTAAATTAAATAAGGTAGGATTAACGTCCACTTCACTAAAATGAATCAAATGAACTGAATATGTGATTGAAACTTGTCAGAATTAGAGAAAATAACCTGCTTATATGCAATTTTTGAAATGAGCACCTCAGGCACATTTAGTGAATTTTGCTGGATGAGTGTGAAAAATGAGTAGTTCTCCATGGAATTTCTGTTAGATGGTCTCTAAAACAGCACTGTGATCAAACTGTCCCTCTCCCATTAGGAAAAAAAAAGTCAAAGCCAAAGGAAGAATTCCTAAAAGTTAGGAAATTGACTGTTTATTTTTGCTATTGTTTTCATACTAAATAGGAACATGAAAGAAATCTTTCACTCTGCAGCTGCATCTAATTTAAGATGAAGCTCCCCAAAGAGGAGTGAAGAGGATGTGATGAGGAGCAGTTAAACATGGTTGCTAAAATTTTGTGAGGCATCTGGTACTGTTCCACTACCTAGAATTCTAAGAATCAAATTAGTAGATTCAGCTCTGCCAAAGTTATCAAATTATTTGTCTAAAGGGTTGTGCAAAGCAGACCCCTCCTTGCCAACATCTGTTCTACCCATCCAGTGAGAACCAAAGATGACCATCTATTTGATTTGTGGAGATGGTACATTTTACTAGTTGCTAGTTTGGCTAAATATTGCACCTTTCATCATCGAAGTCCTCAGTTATTGAATGAATCTACAGGGAACTCTAATAAACTAGTGCATCTTTAGGTCCACATAGAGATAATTCAAACATTTGATTTGAATTGTAAAATATTTACATATTTTATAAATATGTTAAAAATGTTTAAGCACATGTGTCACTATTTTAAATGAACACCCAAGAACCCCACCAGCAAATAAATGAATGCAGTACTTTTCTGGGGGGGGGTGAGGGAGAACATAAAAGGAAAAGTAAACTACTTGTTATACTCAGAGCCTTTTACTTTGTTTGAGGAATATACTAGAAAATGTGGTAATCCTATCACGTCTGACTGTCCATCCTTGACGTATGTTGGAATCAGATGACAGACAATGGGCAAAATCTGTTAGGCTAAAACGCGGAAATGAAAAGTTGCCAGGGATTTTATTTGCCAACATCTCACAAGAGGTGGGGAATGAATGACTATTTATCAGTCTGGGATATGTGCAATTTGGCTTTTTCACATAGGAATTTCTCATCCCTCCAACCCAAATGAAAGCTGGAGTTTGAGGGTGCATTAACTATACTAGATTTGAAGACAACTGACTGGAACCTGACCAGCAAGGACGTGGCTGTGTAGCTCAAATTTATGACGGTGCATCTGCTGTGAGTGGTGTCTTGAATGGAGGCCAGGCCCTCTTCCGTCAGCCGCATCCATATGCTACGCATGTGTTCACTGTACGCACACTTTTTAAATTTAGCTCTTGTGGGTACATGTTCTACACTTTCCCCCTGTACATGATTTTTTTTTAAATATGCTTTAGAAAATATACACAATCTTTTCAAAGTCTTTGCTGACTCACTGGGGGTTCTTTTGAATGTTTTCCTTTTGAAAGCCTTCAAGTTAAGTAGTCAAAAGTGTGTGACAAAAGCCACCCTTAGTCTACTAAGATTAAAATCTACTGCTTATTCTAAAATAACTGTTTTGTGATAGGCTGTCAAAAAACTTCTTTTTTTCTATCCAGAAGCAGACTACAGCTCTTTTTGATAGACTAAAACATGGTAAGAAAATATAGGAAAATAATCATCCTGACCAGTTTGGGGCCAGTTTATGTGTTAGTCTTCCAAACATTTTGCATTTTAAAGTTTGGTGAAAGGACAACACAGGTTTCAGTACTAGGATTGTCAGTATGACTGCCTCTGAACTGTTTCCCTTAAGGAGGTGGAGAGTCAGACATCTCTGATGTAAAAATTCAAGCAACTATGTTGTCCATTAGATTAATTTCCATTGCTCCTTTTTCTAATGGCTGAGTTGTGAATCAAAGTTATTACCTGGGTCAGGCATTCCTGGAACAAGCTTGTGAAATTGGTTGGCTGCAGCTTTCCTGGAGGCTTGTGTTTTCATCTGACGTTTCGTGATTATAGTTTATCATCTTCTTTGTACCTTAGAAAACAAAAAGGCATTATTATTGTGGGTGTTTACAAATATGCTCCTATTTAGCTTTTTTTTTTTGAAATGGAGTCTCGCTGGAGCGCAATGGTGCTATCTCGGCTCACTACAACCTCTGCCTCCCTGGTTCAAGCAATTCTCTTGCCACCGCCTCCTTAGTAGCTGGGATTACAGGTGCACCACCACCACACCTGGCTAATTTTTGTATTTCTTTTTTCTTTTTTTTAGTAGAGATGGGGTTCCACCATGTTGGCCAGGCTGGTCTTGAATTCCTGACCTCAAGTGATCTGCCCACCTTGGCCTCCCAAAGTGCTGGGATTACAGGCATGAGCAACTGCGCCTAGCCCCTCTTTAGTATTTAAATGCATACTTTGAAATTGTTCAATTTGTATTTCCCTTGATCATGAAATCATAGTTCTATTCTTCCTTTTCTATAGACAGATAAGGTAGACAACTATGCTTTCATTTTGTTGTCTATATTCCTGGAGAGCCAGGACGATGCTTTCTTTCATTTTGATTTTTTTCTTTCCTCTCTTTTTATCTTACTCTCTTAATAACATCTACAGTCTTATGCATACAGAAAGCATTTTTTTGTTTTGAGATGGAGTCTCACTCCGTTGTCCAGGCTGGAGTGCAGTGGTGCAATCTTGGCTCACTGCAACCTCTGCCTCCTGGGTTCAAGCAATTCTCCTGTCTCAGTCTCCGAAGTAGCTGGGCTACAGGCACCTGCCACTACGCCCAGCTAATTTTTGCATTCTTTTAGTAGTGGCAGGATTTCACCTTGTTGGTCAGGCTAGTCTCAAACTCCTGACCTCAGGTGATCCACCCACCTTGGCCTCCCAAAGTCCTGGGATTACAGGCATGAGCCACTGCACCCAGTCAGAAAGCATTCTTAATTTGCTGTGTTTACCTCTTCTTTTATTATGAAACCTAAGATTTGGGAAACAATAGCTTCCAAAGTCGTTTTCATCTAATCTCTTAAATCATTAGAAAAATGCACCAAATAATGTGAAATACAGTATTTACATTTTAAATATGTATTTGGTTTCTTATCTGCTCTGAAGCACCCTTTAAAAGACAAAGTACATCAAACTTTTCAAAGAAATTAGCGTTATTGGAAATGTTCACACTTTTGGAATGGTTGACAGAAAAATAATTGGATGACAGTCACATAATGGATTAATTCAGTAAATTCAGCCTGTGAAATAAACCAGTTTGGGATATCATATGAAACAAAACATCTAAATATTTCACATTCAGCCAATTAGCTTACCATCAAATAGCCAGCCATGAATTAAAGGAGAAAATAAATTATCCCTGAGAAATGGCTTTGTACAGTGTGTTTCCACCTGCCTTCCTTAAGGAAGAGTAACCCTCTAATTCAATCTGGCTGATAGCTTTAGGGTCACTGCAGTTGATCAAATGATAAAGAAAAAAAAAACATTATGGGATTTTACCCAGGGCTGGGAATCATTTAGAACTAACACTCTGAGACTAAAGTTTAACAAAACACTCATTTCATGAATCTTTCTTAAGGCTACTATATAAATTCAGCCATTTTCAAAGAAGCATTCAGAGTTACACGAAACATCACATGCCTGAAAAATTGTGAGCTTCTGCAGGGTCTAGTGACTCCACTCACACTCTTTCTACTTCATACACAAATTCATGATGCTCACATAAAAAGCTCTGGCCACCTCCTCTGGTCTTGAAAGCAGTAGTCCTGCTGTGTATTCCCTTTTGGTAGAGGGCTGGACACTGAGTTACACTTCACTTGAAAATCTTACTCAACCAGAAGGGAGTCATTCAACTTCTTCAAACACCCACTAACATTTGGTCTTATCTCACATCTGGTTCAAAGTTAACCTTCTTTCTCCTGCTAAAGGAAGAATATTATCACTTCAAGCAAGCCTTGTCTCTGTAATGGCTCCATCTCCAAACCTCATCCAGTCACTGAATCCTGCCTCCTCTCACTCCTAAATTTCTCTCATCCACCCTCTTGTGTCCTCCAGGCCTTCTGCTGTGGTCTGATTTCAGACCCTCCTTACTCCGGATTACCACAATACCCCCCTCCAGCCTACTTCTCTACTTCATCCTCTGCACTGCTGCCAAAAGGATATTTTTAACTTTCAATAGTGAAACAATTTTAGACTTAAAGAGAATATGCAGAATCAGTACAGAGTTCCCATAAACCATTCATCCAGCTTGTCCTAATGTTAATAGGAAATGTTTGTAGTCTCTTACATGACTATAATACAATCACTAAAGGATTTTTTAAGTGAATATTATTTTTCATTGAAAATTCATAATTGTATACATTTGTGAGGCACAATGTGAAGTTTTCATGTATGTACACAAACTAGAATAATTAAATCCAGCTAATTAACATATCCATCACCTCACTTATCATTTTTTTGCAGTGAGTCATTTTTTAATCTACTCTTGGTTACTCTGGAAATACATGGCTGGGTGCAGTGGCTCATGCCTGTAATCCCAAGACTTTGGGAGGCCAAGGCAGGTGGATCACCTGAGGTCAGGAGTTTGAGACCCATCTGACCAATATGGTGAGTCCCCGTCTCTACTAAAAATACAAAAATTAGCTGGATGTGGTGGCGGGTGCCTATAGTCCCAGCTACTCGGGAGGCTGAAGCAGGAGAATCGCTTGAACCTGGGAGGTGGAGGTTGCAGTGAGCCGAGATTGCGCCACTGCATTCCAGCCTGGGTAACAGAGCAAGACTCCATCTTAAAAAAAAAAAAAGAAATATACAATACATTATATTGACTATAGTCACACTGCTGTGCAATTGATCTCAAAACTTATTCCTACTAACTGGAACTTTGTACCCTTTGACTAACAACTTCCCATTTTCTCCCCCATCCTCCCAGCCTTTGGTAACCATCATTCTATGCCATGTCTAGGAGTCAGACTTTTTAAGTTTCCATATATAAGTGAGATCATTTGTCTTTCTGTGCCTGGCTTATTTCACTTAGCATAATATCCTCCAGGTTTATCCATATTGTCACGAACAAGATAATTTCCTTTTCTAAAAGGCTGAATAATAACACATTGTGTATATACAGCACATTTTCTTCATCTATGCAACCACTGATGGGTACTTAGGTTGATTCCATATCTTGGCCATTGTAAATAATGCTGCAGTGAACATGGGAGTACAGATATACCTTCAACATACTGATTGCATTTCCTTTAGATATATACTCAAACATGAGATTGCTGGATCATATGGTAGTTCTAGTTTGGTTTTTGTAAAGAACGTCCATACTGTTTTCTATAATAGTTGTACTAATTTACATACCAGACAACAATGTATAACTATTCCCTTTTTTCTGCAGCCTCACCAATGCATGTTATCTTTCTTTTTTTTTTTTTTTTTTTTTTTTTTTTTGAGACGAAGTTTCGCTCTTGTTGCCCAGGCTGGAGTCCAATGGCACCGTCTTGGCTCACTGCAACCTCCGCCTCCTAGGTTCAAGCAATTCTCCTGCCTCAGTCTCCTGAGCAGCTGGGATTACAGGTATGCACCACCACGCCTGGCTATTTTTTGTATTTTTAGTAGATACAGGGTTTCACCATGTTGACCAGGCTGGTCTCAAACTCTTGACCTCAGGTGATCCACTCGCCTTGGCCTCCAAAAGTGCTGGGATTACAGGCATGAGCCACTGCACCTGGCCTCTTTCATCTTTTTGATAACACCCATTCTAACAGGTGTGAGGAGATATCTCATTGTGATTTTAAAATGCATTTCCCTGGGTTGATTAGTGATATTGAGCATTTTTTTGTGTACCTATTTGTATGTCTTCTTTTGAGAAATATCTGTTCAGATCCTTTGCCTACTTTTTCCCCATTTTGAAAAAAAAAAAATTAACTTTTAGGTCCAGATGTACATGTGCAGGTTTGTTATATAGGTAAACTTGTGTCACGGGGGTTTGTTGTACAGATTATTTCATCACCCAGGTATTAAGCTTAGTTCCAATTAGTTATTTTTCCTGATCCTCAACCTCTTCTAAGCCTCCACCCTCTGATAGGCCCCAGTGTGTATTGTTCCCCTCTACGTGTCCATGTGTTCTCATCATTTAGCTCCCACTTACAGGTGAGAACATGCGGTATTTGGTTTTCTGTTCCTGAATTAATTTGCTAAGGATAATGGTCTCCAGCTTTATCCATGTTCCTGCAAAGGAGATGATCTCATTCTTTTTTATGGCTGCCTAGTATTCCATAGTATATATGTACATTTTTTAAGTCTAGTCTATCATTGATGGTCATTTAGGTTGATTCCATTCTTTGCTATTGTGAATAATGCTGCAGTGAACATACACACAAATGTGTCTTTATGATGGAATGATTTATATTCCTTTGGGTATATACTCAGTAATGGGATTCTTAGGTTAAATGGTATTTCTATCTTCAGATCTTTGAGGAATCATCACACTGTCTTCCACAACGGTTGAACTAATTTACACTCCCACCAATAGTATATAAACATTCCTTTTTCTCCACAACCTTGCAAGCATCTGTTATTTTTTGACTTTTTAATCATAGCCATTCTGACTGGTGTGAGATGGTATCTCATTGTGGTTTTGATTTGCATTTCTCTAAGGATCAGTGATGTTGAGCTTTTTTTAAAGTATGATTATTGGCCCCATATGTATGTCTTCTTTTGAGAAGTGTCTGTTCATGTCCCTTGCCCAGTTTTTTATGCGGTTGTTTTTTTTCATGTAAATTTGCTTAAGTACCTTATAGGTGCTGGATATTAGACCTTTGTCAGATGAATAGTTTGCAGAAATTTTCTCCCATTCTATAAATTGTCTATTTACTCTGCTGATAGTTTCTTTTCCTGTGAAGAAGTTCTTGTTTAATTGGATCCATTTGTCAACTTTTGCTTTTGTTGTAACTGCTTTTGAAGTCTTCATCATGAAATCTGTGCCCATGCCTATGTCCTAAATGGTATTGCCTAGGTTATCTTTCAGGGTTTTTA